CCATTCTCGGTGACACACGATGTATACGATTGATCGACGACAATGTATGGCAACGTACCGAGCATTGATTTATACTAAGAAATTGATAGCAAATTAATTGTATATGACGTTGAGTTCTATTTTCAATCGTCTTACTTCAATGATTATTTGTAACTGTATTTCTGAAAGCGTTCCGCTGGACTTGTCTCGGCGGGAAATATTCGATAATAGATAATCATACAAGTTTTTATCCGACTATTATCTGTTATCATACATCGTCTATAAATTGTAATAAAACGTCGATCGAAAATTTCAGATTTCGCAGAATCACAAAAGCCGTTGGAAAAGCACCCCCTTTATCCGACTATGTACGCTCGCGCGGATTTTAGAGATGGAAGTTTATAATTCCGCTGGGCCGTAAATCGCCGTTTTACGATGAGATGCACCAGGCAGATACGTTACGAGTTTCACCAATCTTTTTTATTCCGCTCGCATACCGAGTTCACGAAGGTCTGTAATATCGTCAAACTGACATTTAATACGGAAGTATAATCGTAACGGGAGACGCGATTTTTACGTTCCTCTCGTTTTTCCGTTACTTTACTTATCTTTGCCGACACTTTTTGGAACGCGCTTATTTAACTTTTCGATACGATTTTGTATTATCAGAAAATACAAAATTTATATGAAAATATATGTATTTATTCTCTGTAGTTATTTATAAAAGAATTTATATGCTTCTTACAAATTCGATTGCCGAAAATTTCGTTTAATAAATTAATGAATGAACGTCTTTAAGTACAATATCTAATTTGAGTTATTCAATATTTGGTAATTGAATCTTCCACCTTCAGATTTTTATTTTGAGGTCGAAATTCGAGATGGAAAATGTCGAAACGAAAAAGTCAATTTGCCTTCGTCGTTCTCTCGATCTGTCGGTTTATCTCTTCGCGCAAATTCATTGAATGTGCCAATAAGCACGTAGGAAAGCACAGTTTGTCGTTTCGAGTCGCTGTTCCAATTTTATGGCGCAATATGGACTTAACATTCCGTATTGCGACATAAAATGATTTATCGCAAAGCGTTCCACCAAAATATTCTTGCGAATTCTCTTATCGGCCGAAATTAGCACGTGATGCTCTTCCAAGAAATTTGATATTATTGATTTATATATTGCCTTTTTATTCGATTGGATATTGATCTTCATCAAGGACACATCTGCAACGACTTGTGTTTCTTGATCGTTGAATCGTGTGTTAATGATTACACTAACTTGCAATTAAATAAGATAAGTTTGCATAAGACAGAGGAGGAATTTTATTCATTGTCTGTAAGGCGGATTCGAGATATTTACAATATTTTATTTTTATCGCGCAGAATACAGATAACTCTTAATAATTATAGCACGTGAGTAAACTGAAATATTATTTCAATCAATATATGTATATCATACCTCTTCTTAAAAGACATACCAGGTACAATTACTCCGTAGACGCGTCTGCAAGACGCATTACCGCGACGCGACACGATGCGCGAAAAGGAAGCGGATCTGCTTCAACTACGTCTCGAATGGAAGCAGATAGTCTCGTTTGCGATTCCGGTAGCCGTGTCGTAAACCTGTCTTGCGATATATGAATCTGATGACAAATACGCCTGATAAGATGTACTCGGTTGATAGAGGCTCAGCTACCTAACGCGCGCGCAATTATTCCGTGAAGCAATTTTCCGCGAGCAGCGTCTCAATGAGTGTATTTAGCGAAGATAACATTCTATGAATTTTACACGAGATCTGATTAGGCTTGACATAAAATCATAGTGTCTAGTGTATAATTTTCTAATTACCATAGAAACGTCAAAAATTTCACACAATGAAAATTATAATTCTTTGTTTCTTTAAGATTTTATTTTAGCGGATAATTATGCATATATATATATATAATATTACACTATATGTTATACAGAAAATTGAACAAAAATGATAAAATTACTCGCGAAGCAAAATAATAATTTTCGAGCAGTCACCGGTTAAAATCGCGCTCTCGCACGCGCGCGGCGATCGATCGTCAGGCGTGGGAATGTCACTGCACGATCAGCTGTCTAACCACAAGGCCGCCACGAGAAGACACTTACACCGTTTCCACGACATTTCCGTCCGTCGCTCACTCGCCGAGGCGAAGCTTCCGTTGCATGTCCGCGCGTTTTCCTAACGAAGGCTCCGTTTAAACGAGAGAGGCGGATGGATGTCCAGCGCGGTGGAAACAATTGGTCAATTCGGCCGCGTGTCCAATTACGAAATTGGCAGCTATGAAAATGCCGGGCCGTCTCTTAATTCGATTCAGCCAATTAGAGCTCTCTCGTTGCCCGCCCATGGAGTCTGAATACGTTTCTTGCACCTCTCTCGTGGAGAAAATTTTTGCAGCAAAGTGGCGTTCTTTATTCTCCGTCCAGGACGATGTCGTTTTTTGCGCTCCGCAAATATCTCCCGAGTATTGTGAGTACGAATTGCCACCGCGAAAATATAATTAATTTAGTAAAGTTTTAATTCGCCAAGTTTTTCATCTGTTGGATTCTTTCCCGGTAACAGGTTTTGAATCGCAATTAAAACTTGTGTAGATACGCGATATATAAAACGAAAAGTACGAAGGCTTGACATGAAAATCCTTGTAAAATGTTTGTTTGCGCCGTACAATTAAGAGACAATTCGAGATGAAAAAGAAGCTGATGTTAATTCGAAGTTTATTTCTGATATCCCACAGAAGTTTATGTCAAAGTTTTTTTAATTAGCGCAGTGGAAAACAGTTAATTTGTGGAACTTTTACGGAATTCTTCTTTTTTGTCCTATTTAATTTTATTCTCGCGAAAGAAAAGTATTCAAAAAGAGGGCTGCTGCGTGATAACGACATTAATGCAATTAGAGTGTAAAATCGACCAAATTATCAATATTGAGGCCTATAGCATTCATTAATTTTTTAAACTAATGCTCACAATAAAGCTGTAATAATAAAAAATAATATAATTAAATAATGAAAAATCATGACATTACGTGAATTGCATTAAAATAATATGAGCATGATTAATTATAAAGCAGTATAATATGTTGAAAAAACGAAGATAAAGAAAAGGAATATATTTATAAATGCGAAATGTTTTGCAATGCATTTGTCAAGTTCCACTCGAGACAGACTGTTCGCAGGATACAACAGCCCCAATAAATCTAACAAAATATCGAGTAAACAAGCGGGTGTGGCCATTTTCTTGTCGAGCCAGAATCGGGTCAAGAGCATGCGAGGCGCCAAGATGTATGACGATCATCGGAAAAAATATTTCGCGGCCGACCGTGAATCGAACAACCGCCTGATATCGCGAGTTGCGTAATCAATTAAGTGGCTGCTCGAACGCGCGATATCTGGAATATCGAGGCACTTGAGTCCCGATACTCGGATGCAACCGGGCTTCTCGGAATCTATTTTTCTATTTTTCCGCGATTGAATCCCTTCCCGTTGCAAAATCTGCCGTAATTAATGACGCGTCATTTATGCGAGCCTTATCATTTTAATCGGTCTTTTCCTCTTATAGGTACTTTAAACGGACCATTGTTTATTTGCTCGCTTTATTCTTGCATTGATAAACCGTGGGGTATGTTATCGTTATTATCAATTAAAGATCTTATTGACAATGATAGGGAAAATCTCAGAGTATTGTAATATTATAATCATTGTGTATTTATTTTATCAATACTTATCTCTGTTTATCATGTACCTTTTAATGTAAAATTAGAATTTTTCAAGAATTTTTCAACTCTTGAAGAATCAAATATTACAGCCATGTGCGTGTAAAAACATATAAATGATGCAATCTCGATCCTTATTTCTTAAGTAATCAGTGATACTTCTAGCACAACAATGATCTCGATAAAATTATCGATACCTTGTTACCAGCTGATCGCCATTATTATCTCCCGCTTCGTCCTATCGTTCTCATCGGATTATTATTGAATTGATTAACTTGATTATAGATTATCTCGTTAAACCGTACTCGGGCGCGAACTTGAGAGCCACGAGTAGTTTGAGGGATTATAAAAATAATATACACAATACGAGATAAATCTACAAGAAATGATAATGCTAGAAATGGAAACATACACTTGAAATATGTCTGCAAATGTGCGTAATCAAGAATTAAAATTGATTTGAACGATATTGTGTTGTTAAACACATAAAAAAATAGATAATATTTTTAAAATGTTAAATTTCAACCTGACTCAAAAACTGTATTTTTTAGCTACATTTTTCTACAATCTTCAAAGTTTACATATGGATGATTTTATTAAGAAATTAACCGCTATGCAATTAAAAAAAATTAATTATACAGCATAGCAGACTCGACTCTATGCGAGCTACGCGAAACCGTCTATGTTTTAAACTCAATTTATTCTTATTAGTGAGAATATTATTTATATATATATTCGACACACATTTTATACGTGGAAAATATAAGTAAATAGGTTTAAAGTACAGAATTGCATATGTTTTGAGATCAGTTTTTTTATAAGCGCAGCATTTAAAAACCTGTGTTTATTCGACTTATTTAACACTAAATATAAATTTAGCTCAGCGAATTTTATATGAGGGAGATAAAATCTAGAGATAGACACATTTATCGTTGAAAAAACTGTGTATATGAATACTTGAAACACTTCAAAAGTCCGGAGACATCTGAAAGACAGCTAAAAAATGTTGTAAAAATTCAAGAGACGCTTTTTTAATGTTTTTACGACATTTTCAAAAGAGTTGTGTTTGTCCGAGAAGGATCTAAGGATCTTTCATAAATGCGTGATCATAATTCGAGTTTTCGTCGAGATGACGTGAGAGGATCAGGATCGACGGGATCTTGTGCGTATCCTCTTGTTTGTACACGCGTTCGTCGCAATGTTGAGGTGGGGGCTACGTCGCGAAAGAGAGAGACAGTTGAGTCGGGTAAGGCGTGCGCGTATAAATACAAGCGGTCGTGTTCGTTCGCGCTTAGTCGCTGCGATACTCGATCCATGTGACGGTTGTCGATCGAGCGCGTCTCGATCCCGTCTGACGTTCTCCCGTGTGTTTTATGCGTTTGCGACGTGCGAGCTTGAGCTCGTGTGCGTGCGTGCGTGCCGCTCGATAACGAGAGCGAGTTGAGGGGAAAAAAAAGAGGACGCGAGGAAAAGCCGCTCTTTCTTCGCCCAACATTGTCGCGACGTTCCAACCTGTTGGCGCGTGTGTGCTCGAAGAAAAAGGAAGAAAAGGGAATATATATGTATATATATATATATAATCGAGAAGAGGAAAGCAAAGACGCGAAAGAATAAAAAGGGATCATCGGAAGGCCGTCTTCGCCATTCTTCGTGCGTCGCGTTCCGGATGTGATGCGAAACAACAACAAAATCTCGTCTCTGCTGCCCTCGGCAGGCGAGGGCTGACGAGGTAAAAGCGAAACTCCTTTTAAAGAAAGTTCCACGCAACCCTCTAATTTTTTCAGTGTCATCACATAAACAAAGAAAAACCTTCTTGGAGACGAAGCGTGTCGCGTTGAATCAGTAGAGGAATAAACAAACAAATAAATTAAACGGGCAGTTTGAATTTAATATTGATCCCTGCGCGTCTTTTCTCCACGGGCGTAATCGCCGACACCAGAGCGACATACAAACGCAATCGCATACACACCTACATGGTAGCACGCGTTTCATGAGAGTGACCGCGTCGTCGTCAGCGTCGTCGACGTCGCGAGTGAAAAGGCGGTCGACCGCTCGGCTGCTTTCACCGACGAGCCGCGCCGGTGGAATAATGCTGCCAATTGCGCTTTAACACTTCGTCGCGTCGTTCGTTCCTTCGTCTCTTTCTCTCTCTCTCTCTCATCTTCAGCGTGAAAAATCACGCCCGCTCGTCGCGTCAGTAATCGCCGTCGAGTACATTCTTCTCATCTTCTGTCGTCGATCGTCGCCTGCAGCTTGCAAGAATCGTGGATTTCCTGCAATCGGACGACCATCTGCGGTACGTGATATCGAAGCGATAGTGTTGCGAGGGAGTGTTATTCCCCCTTGCGGTGCTTCGAAATTTGCGGATACCGCGGTGATCTCACCGGTGTACAATATCAAATCAAGGACGGACAATCCTGGTGCGTCTTCGTTCGCGAGTACTTGGACTCAGTTCATGAATATCTAATCTTAGATACCTGATTCATGAATATCTAATCTGCGAATAGTGCAATCCCCGGCGACCTGCCCGGTATAGTAAGTTGTATGCAGTCAACTATCGCGGGACGTCGATCTCACGATTCTCGTAGAATTAACGGATACATGTGATACTCCACATCGCCAGTACTGACTCTCAGTGGATCTTTACGATATAAGCTATTGACTAAACGACTTCGCGGAAGAGTCAAAGCGACCCTTCCGCTGCAGTTATTTATCCTTTCTCCGATCTTTAGTGACCTTGCTGCGTAAAACGTTAATAACGGAATCGTCGGGAAATCAACATTTTTCGCGACGCCCTCTCTTCATCGTACAACCAAGCAAATACTTTAATCTGGACGCGAGTTAACCTTCCGTGACCTCCATACGAGATACCGACTCGACGCGAGTTTCCGACGCTCTCTGCGATGCGCAGTACGCGATTGTAAACTGCTCGTCACACGACGTGGCCATTCCGACTAGCATGGAAACAGCCAAGATGTACATCAGCAGCGAGCCGCAGAACGGTCACTCGACCACCAAGTACGCTTCGACCAACTCCATCCCGGCGATGATGGAGCAGGAATCGTCGCTGGCAAGGATTTTTGGCGCCGTCAGCAAGCGCGAAAACGCGGCGATTTTGCGCGACACGAAGAGCCGCCGACATAGCGTTCTGGAGGATCTGAAAGCTCGGCGAGACAGTCTTTTCCAGAGGGCTCGTAGGGCCAGCGTGTTCGACGAAAAGGAGAACAGTGCAAAAGACATCGCCAAGGACAACGCCAAGAATAACGCCAAGGATAGTAATGTGAGGGACAAGTCGAAGGACAAGAGGAGGAGCAGCAGCGACAGCAACGGCGGCGGCAGGCGCGGCTCGGTGTTCTATGTGTCCGAGGATCTGCTTGAGGAGAATCAAGAGGTGCTGGAGAGCGAGGAGAACGCTCGCGCGGTCCAAGAGGCCAAGAAGGGACGCCGAAAGTCCTGGCATCCGCTCGCGAAGCCACCCAAGCTGGACCGCAAGAGGAGGAAGGGTGTATCCGGTGTTCCTTCGCAGACCGGCAGCACGGAAGCGCTTTTCTCGCAGAATTTTCCTCGTCAGAAGAGGCTATCCTGGTGGAACATATTCGTGCCGGATTCGGTCGTCAGGTATTTATTATCGCGCATGTTCTGATTATTGTGCGAACGTGAGTTCCCATTGTTTTACGAATAATCACGTATTCGTTATTTTTTGAAAGGCCAATTTAGCTTTGTAAGAAGTAAGATGGGACACAAATATTTAAAAAAATCCGATTTAAACATATAACTGAGGAATGAGTCGTATGTGATTTTTAAGCGCCACGAATATTATATTTTTAGTACAAAAAGATATCTATATTTTTTTTTATAATATTATTGAGCGAAAAGTACTCACGATACATTAACATAATTTGTTTTATACTTCATCGTTTAATTATTTGACAAATAACTTTCACAGTAAATCATTCGTTATGGTTTACTTATTACTTAATTATAATTAATAATCATTAAGCAATCGATTCGGAGTTATTTGCATAAAAATATTTTCCGCAATCGGTCGAGAAAATTTGCGCGATAAAATACGAATAAATGATACTCCGAAACGTTTTAACGGCCATTACACGCGATAATCCCAAATATTAATGCCCAATTCGCAATGGCTTTCACATTGACATATTCATGTTTCTGGCTGGCCTCCAATATGCTGGCAAAAGTGACGATTGAGATAACGTTGCAATCTGGATGTTAAATTAATTCTCAATAATTTCCAAACAATAATTCGATGAAAATTGCGTCTCCCACAATTTCGGCAAATTTTTATTTTGCATAATTTTAAATTATTATTACGGTGTTATAATCAATTCGTACCATCACACACGATTTTAGATTACCGTAATATTATAATGTAATAATATATTGCATCGCCGATTGTATTATCTCGGATATAAATAATTCATGCACCCGGTCGGTTGCTCGTCTCTCAAAGTATATCATTATCAATTTTTTATTGTTATTTGTTGGTATGTAAGCACCTGACTTCTGGACTCAATTTTGAGGGAAAAGTCGGAAATAAGCGGGTCTCTTTTGTGTAAATATTTGCGGATGTCGACGGTGTTGAAATCATAATCCGCACTCGAGGAAATCTTTTGTCGTTCAGCAGACGGCGAGAAAGCATTATCGTTTCAGATAACGGCACGTTTGTCATAACGGTAACAATATTCTGCGAAAATGAAAACAAATCGCAATCGTGATGTTTTCACGAGGCGGAAAATCGCATACAAACAAAATTGTAGAAATATCGATAAAAATAGTACTAGCCGGAAGGCGAAATGTTGTAAGGTCTTTTTTAGTCCAAACAACACTCTACCTCTCAAAAACTCGATATTTGTGTACAAATATTTAAACGCGAATGTGTTTTTTCATAGGACACATTCTTCTCGATATCGAACAAAGTACTTGTTTGTGTTACAATTAGGAATGAAAAATATTGCAGAAACAACGGATATTTTGAGTAAGAAGCACGACAGAAAAATTAAGCGCGAGATGAAACAAGAAGATTCTACTGAGGATCTGATTTAGATCAAGATTAAATTCTGGCGTCATCTTGTTTCCACGCTATCTCAGCTAGAAGTAATGTGACGTTTTTATTTTGAGGAAAAATGGAATTTTCGATACTTTAACGTTTCCACGAACAGAGTGTCTCGAGAAAAATTTCACGAAAGTTTTCCCGTTGCATTGCGGCCTCACGATTTCTCTACGAGAGACTTATTCGCGGAAGTCATCGCTGGTTTGCCTTCACAATTCACCATAAAATCTATTCGAGCTGACGGAACCGGACGATCGTTTCGATGTACACACTCAGCGAATAATCGAACGTAGAAAGTTTTGATTTTAATTGCATTATGTAACTCACACGCGCAATTGATTTCTCGAGTATTATGCAAGGTTGGAAAAATAAACTCTATCTTATTTGCTCAGTCAATTGAAGGATCTGTTTAAATAGTAATCTAGAGTACTTTTTCAAAAAACAATTAATCTGAATTTTTTATACGATTAATTTTCTCCAATTTTAAATAGTAAATTTTGCTATTGTAACAATAAGATTCTAATATTTTCTGAGTGTAGCATGATAATCAATTAATTAGGAAAGTGGTTCCGAATTTAAAAGTATTATTACGTGAAACTATACATAATGTAGGATTTTATACATTTTTATTAATTTTATTATATTTATTTAAATTTATTCTATGAAGTGCATTTAAATTTGAAAAAAATACTGTACATAAAACTGCTATATTTTGCGATGACCTTTTAAAAATCATAATTATGTCTGCATATTAGCATGAATAGTTTTTCTTGATTTGTCACAACCGGAAGCATTATTTACTTTTGAATTTTTCATCATTGACATTTCACATCTGCATTATTGCCATCGATTGATATTTGCAGCATTTAATCAGCATAATGCTGATAACTTTTCTCATGTGTTATCTCAAGCAATTTATTATTAATCTCACTATCAACATTATTGTCACTAAAAGTTTAAGCAATATATTGATTTCAACTCTAAAAGATTTGTTTGTTTGTTCGATTCTATCAGATTTATTTTTTCGTAATATTATTTATTTTTATTTTCAGTTTAATGCAATTCACACAATTTTTTAATCATCTAAAATTTCAACGGTCATATATAAGTATTAAAAGTTTCTTAGAGATTTACAATAATTGAAATGTATTTTATATATTTTATGATATATAATAATTAATTATAATCTGAGAAAATAACGTAGATAATTTTTAATTTGTTCATAAATTTACTTCTGCTGTCGTGTATTTGAAAACAAAGGAGCATTAATCCCAACGCGATAGTTTAACGCATTTCTTGTTCTTTGTCTTATAATTTTTTGTGCGAGTAGCACTCAAGTGTGTCGCGATTCAAAAAATTTCAACTTGTTAGAGTGGATCATTCGGAACGGAGATACAGGCGAGCCTCTTTGTGACGTGTAGAAACCGGTCGCGCGCACGTCTTAAAATAGCCCTTCCTGTCATTAAGCATCTTTTTCCTTTCACAATTTCTCATTGCTTCTCTCTTTCTTTCAAGTTGAATTTTATCAGGTTATATTAAACTCCAATTTTGTTCACTAATTGCATTATCTCGGTTGCATTATTACATGATCTTTTTTATTTTTCGAATAATACAATGTCCAAAATTCTCTGCAATCGATATAACCGGTTTTTTCAGGTACAAATACAAATTACAACGTACAAATGCAATTCTATTTGAACTTTATTATTATTATTTTAATTAAAAGCACCAGTCACATACATTTGTTCATGTAAAGATAACTTAATCGGACGAGCGTGTTAGTGAATTTAAGTGTCAGCTTTTTAAGTTATTTTATAACGCGGGAAACATGATGCACATGTAAGCAGAGGTATTGCAAGCGCATTGTATATTCGTACAGCAATTACTTGTACACAAAAGCGAATACGATGCCGAACCTTGAAGACAGATGTTACACCTGGATTCAAGTACACGACGACCTTACATAATTCGCGAGCCTCTTGCACCGCGTTTTATCGACCGGCACGAAATTACCGGGCGACATATTCTGTTCGCATCTATAGGAAAGCTTTTGCATAATCGTGTTTGCACGGTTATTACTTTCCTTCCTTTAGCGTCTGTAGGCGCAGCGATGCTTATTTTATCTACCGACCTTATCGCGCGTATGCCATAACCACGCGTTATGCAAACTAGGACAACAATTATTGTCTCTAAGTACCAGTACTTTCTCAAATTTTCACTATTCGCTCCTATACGAAATATTTTATAGAATTTGTATAAAATCTTTATGGAATATTTTCTGCTGGCTTTAAAAACAATTTTCCTCGATGAAAGTATGATCGGGTGGCATTTTTATGGCAACTTTACAATTTGCAACATTAATCATTATAACAAAAAGATTTTGATAATTCTTATTAAAGATTAATTAAAGAAGATAATTTTTATTTTGTTTGTTTGCTATATAATTTTATATTTATCAGAGCAAAAAAGTTCTGCTCTCTTAACCACTATTGTACATATAGTTAATTAACAATTTTATTACATATATATTTATTAGAATTTCATATTGCAAAAACCGTATTTATTTAAAATTCTATTGAGAAAATACGTTTATTAAATTAACAGAGAATTTTGCATAGTACAAAATTTTTTTTTCATTTTATTTAGAAATTTCAATTTTTCTGTTTTAACATTACAACATGTGTGAACTTTTTGTCGGCAAAATAAATGATAATGTTGCAGTTGAATAGCCATCTCATCATGCGACTCCATCATTTTTAAGCACGCAAGGTGTGTTCTTACGCGGCGGTCGCTTGCGTAAAGTGCGTGCGACGCAACTGAGTGAGACGGGACACCTCGTTACGCTCTGATTCTGCCATTTCTGATCAGACCGATGTCTTTTATGGCAAGCTGAGCAAGTACAAGACATCCGATAGCGATTTCAGTCGGCCTCCTCTCTCGTTCCGACTAGTTGCTCGTTTTTCATTCCAACAGAATTTCATTCGTAGCGTCGCGAATCGCGTAACACATCATGAGCAGATTAAACTTTCCATACGGAAGTTATATTCCGACCGAGATAAGTTTTCCGCGATGTGAGTTTTACATGCTCGAATTAAATGTAGTTGTCTGCAAGTTTCGGCGATAGCCAAAGCTATTAGCAAATTTATTTTAATTAAATTTATAAATTTAGATTTATAATATATATATATAATCATAGCCGACACATTTTTATTATATTTTTCAAAATGTATTTTTAATACTAGCTCACTGAACACGAATATACATGCGTAGCAACGAATTTCGTTTTGCGTCATTTTTAAAACATACAGTTTGTAACACCGGAACATTTCAATACAAATAAACGTTACATACGTAACAACAATAAAACAATTTAACAGTTCCGGCGCTTTTTCGAACGTTTTCACGTTTGAAAGCTCGCAATCGAGAAAGAATAAATCCTCATGAAACGTTCAACAAAATTGTTATTAGACCGCTCTTAATGTTTTCAAATTATCTTTCTCCGATGAATTGGAAAACTTTTCAAGCCAGAACCCCACAGTGTTGC